TGTCGTCACGATGGTTTCTTTAAATTGTTTCCAAATTTCCTCTAAGTTGTCAGTACTATGTGCATTAGTTAATTCGGCTAGTTTTTCTTCTATTTTACTTTTGAACATGGCCGCGACTTTTTGATCATTTAGTTTATAGTTTTGGATATTCTCGTTCACTTTATTATTTTTTGTTCTTTGTTGAGTGGTTTTAGGGATTTTTTGGGATAATCTTATCTTTGCCATTACAAGATAGTGGTCACTATAGATTTCTGGGCCTCTTTTAACTCTGACATCAGTGACCTCTTTCCTAAATTCTCTATTAATGAGAACATAATCTAGAATTGATTTTTCATTTCTGCTCCTGACTTCTCTCGTAAACTGGTGTATATATTTGTGTTCAAAAAATGTGTTGGTGATAATCAAATTATTCTCCATGCAAAAGTCTATCATCCTTCTTCCATTATCGTTTCTTGTATCTTCCCCCTGCATACCCATAATATCTATGTTATCATCGTCTCTTTTACCAACTCTGCTATTCATATCGCCTAGAATGACTATTCTACCTTTCACATTTTCTATGGCATCATTGAGCTCTTCCCAATATTCTTCTTTAACTTTCAATGGTTCGTCATCATTCGGGCCATATGTGACTAATATAGTTGTTATTTCTGATTTATCTAGTGTTATCTCTATCTTTAAATTTCTTTGTGATATACATTTCCAATTTTTAACATATGACATATAGCTTGCTCTCATTAGGCATCCTACACCTTCTGCCGCTCTACTATCGATACTGACTCCGCTGTACAAAAATACATGTTCTTTATCCAATTCATCCATTCCTTGACCTTTCTTTTTAGTTTCCTTGATCGCCAAAAAATCTAATTGTGCTTTGTCAAATTCATCTATTAATTCTCTCTCTTTTCCATTAAGGCTTCTGACGTTCCACGTAGCCATTTTTATGTACTTTTATAGTCTGTTTGCCCCTTGATCTTGTATTATATTTTCTTTTTTGTCCAATTCAATTATATCGTTAGTCCTTATTCTCGCCTTGTTTGGTATTCCATGTTGATCAGTTCTATTTGGCCGATGGTCTGCTATTTCTTCCTGGCTTTGTTGAGAGCCTTCATCTCTCTGTTCCACGTCCATACTTCTCCATTTATTATAAGTTTTCGAAACCCCATTTGGACTGTATTCCCTTTACTCTTTTCTTCCTTAGCTTTAGCTCTAATTTCTTTTTGAATAATTCTCTGCTGTTCGCTCATATCATCATTTATATATAGTTTGTGTTCTCTAATATTTCTTAGTTTGGCTTTATTGTTCATAAGTGTGTATTTTTGGTTACTATCTTTTAGTTCTAATAAACAGGTCTTTTCTCCTATTTTAATTGCCCTTTCTATTTCAATCTCAATGTTCAGGTGCGTACTTATAAATCTTTTCATATTGCTCTTCACTGTTTCTACGTTATTTGTTTCTATTGGTAGTCCCTGAATTACTACATTATTTCTTCTTTTTTCGTTCTCAAGTCTTTCAATTCTGTCCATTGCTTGTATAAGATCTTTCTTGATCTCTTGATTTTCTTTTCTGATTTGCGTATTTTCCTTTTTCAAATCTTGAATTTCTGTTAGACATTTTTTTGTTCTTGTTTTATTTCCTTCATTTCTGCTTCTATATATCGTTGCAAGCCTTGGATCATGTCCATTATTTTTCCTGAGTTATCTTCTTTTTTTCTCTTTCATGTCTGGAGATCTTTTAGTTTTTACGCACTTTCCAAAACCAAATGTTTGTGAGCCTTTCCTTCTTTTGCCCTCATCCGTGGTGTACTCGTCTTCACAATCCACTGCTTTCTAATTGTGCTCGTGATATTAGCTATTCAGTTCAACTATCCAATCGCGTAAAAAGTAGACCCCGGTCAACCCGTCGTAAGTCTTGCTTTTATCGATCGGTTTTCTATTAAGCTGTGGTTTTCTTCACAATAAAATGTATAATTCTGTTCTCTTTAAATTCTTTACTATTTTTGCATTACGGCAACACCGCTTTTCTACCGGTCAGAATCCCGTGGTCGAATTAGTTCTTTTGCTTTTATCGCTAAATTAAACAACAGAAACTGGTCGTATCGGAATAACTGATTTTGCTTATTATTGTTTGTAATTAGCCACTTACTATCGGTTTATTCACACTGCGATACGCGTTGTAACTTTACACACACTTATTGCTGCTTTGGCACAATTATTTCACTCTGCACCTCTTGATTTACGGGTTTAATGCAGGAGCAAGCCAATTGCACTTCATACGCTTGACCGCAGCGTTGCCAACTCTTGTTTTTAAAATACAAAATAAAAATGTAATTCTTTAGACTTTTCTTAGTGTAGAATAACTAGAATAGTCACTTTATCAAGTTTGAACGCGACACCCTGGCATCTGACGTCGGACCCTGTTAAATATTTTTCACACCTAAATAAAATAAGGGTAATCTTCCCGTTTACGCATTATGTAGTGTTTTATCAGTTCAGTAAGAGCAGTTCAAGTTGACACATGGCCTCGAGGCATCGCAGCGAGTAGTTAAAAACTCGCAATTCACGTATTAAATATTTCTCTTCGCCGAAATCGGGAATTTTCTCATAATGGTGTTTCTTTTACGTGTTATAAAGAAAGAGTACATTTGATATTGTATAGTAAGTTACGGCCGCGTTGGGCCTCTCTCCTCTTAAAAGATTTAATTATAAATCGATAAACTCAAAGGTGATTTTATTTCTCTGGAGCTATATTTGCTCACATTAAGAATCCTTATCCTTCAACGGTCACTGAAGAACCAAACCTATGGAGATGTATCCATTCACCAGTCCGTTGAAGTAAGGCTTGAAATCAAAAGACTTCCAACTCTCGTGATGTAGGTAGCCAGTTACAAGGCTCTCTCAGTTAAATTTATTCCATTATTGATTATTAAAAATTTATTTACAGGGTGTTAAAAACTTAGTTTCAATTTTGGATTATTAAATATCTAATATGAGGCTTATTTTAAATGGAACACCATGGATATTAATTAATCGTAATACTAAAAAAGTTTCATCTTTTGAATGGTATAAAGATGTTCTACACTTAAGTCTCATAGTTTTTGCGTAATTAACAATTATTTAAACTCTTCATCGGTATATTGATTTTAAAACAAAAGATATAGTTAGTTAATGTCATTGTATGACATTGTCATTTTCTGACATTACGGTCTGGTAATTGTCAAAATATAAACATTCGCGTGTAATATTTAACTTTCATTGTTCCTAAAACTGAAGGATTACGCTATCCATGAAAGAGTCGACATGGTACTTTGCATTGGAGAATGTCTGGAAAATTGTCTCTTAGCTTCTGAAGTTTATACTCAAAAGTATCCTGATACAAGACACCCACAAAAGAAAGTTTTTGAGAGATTGCTTAATAGATTCCGTGCTACTGGTAATGTTGCATACGAAAAGGCAAATAAAAATAAATCAGTTATTGGTGACAACGTCAACGAACTTAATGTCCTGCTTTGTGTTACGGAAAACCCAAATATTAGTACAAGAAAAATAAACATTTTGTATTATTTAATACAAAATATACATTTTGTATTATTTGTTTTATTAATATTCTTTCTGTTTCGTTATGTATTTAATTGTTTTCAAAACAAGAGTGTGTGCTCGTAAGCACGTTAAAAGTTATAGGTACATCTATTATTATGACTTCAAAGAAATTTTACCGTTTTATTTTTATTTAAATATTAAACTTATTTTAATACTTAAAATAATACAAAAAACTAAACATAACGATAAAATCTACGTAACTTTTGAAAACTGTAAACTCTGCGCAGTTGCCTTTCACTTGACGAATCATAGGAAATTCAAAAAAACATGAGATTTTCAACAATTTTTTTTTATTTTCTTTTCATTATATTTTAATAATAATTATCCTATTCCCAACGAATACAAATCCAAAGACATACAAATTTTAATTTATTTACAAAAAATGTATTAACAACTACACTGGTTTCGTTTATAGCAATATGTCAATATGATGGGTTTAAAAATCGAAAGTAACAATTATAAATATTTGAAATCAATTTCCGTTTAACAAAATTTTAAATTACGGCAAAACTATCATTCTTAGTTATAGGATATCCGTGTACCATTCGAAAGCTTTAATATAATAATTCATTAATATACAGGGTGTTCCATTTAATTAAATTAATCATGAAATACATTCGACCAATATCCAGCTATTTAGATGTATGAGTAATTTTATTAGAATTGCTTGAATAAATTAAGAATGAGTCCTCGTGTAAAGTTTTACATTTTAAGAAAATTCCGACTTAACTCAGAACACTCTGTATATAGGTATAGGGAAGTCTTATGAAACTATTCCTTATTTTTTGCAGACAATTAGATAATCCAATAAAATACAGGGTGTTCCATAAGAAAAATTCATGTAATCTTCCGTCTCGTTAGTGGTGACTCATCCTGTATATACCTTGTATATGTAATACACATACAATAACATGTTGAAGTTTCATCAAAATAAAAAAATCGTACTAAACAAGATGTTTGCAATTTTATTATTTATAAAGATACATTTTATTATTTATAAATTTTCAGATATTAATTATGTCAAGTTTCTCTAGTCTAAAACGTCTATTTGGAACTCTCAAAGAATTACTCTGTATAATCAAAATTTGTTAGTGTAACATAATAATATTATCTCGTTACTATTTTTTATTTAAATTATGTATTTATTTTTTTTAATTCGCAATAACCATAAGCAAACAAAATTACTCTCAAAGTACTGATTAGTATTTCTTCTAATATACAGAGTATATAAAATGACTCGGTGTTCTCAAAAAAGTGAAACACATTACTTTTGAATTGAATAATGTTACCATGAAAAAAATCTACTGGATACAAACACCTACATGAAACTATTTTTGATGGTATTTTCAATGCCCAATATTGGATAATTCTGTAAAATGTTAAGTGCATTTTTATACTTACATCTTCATCAATTGGTAATACCTTATGCCCCCCATTAATGTCCACAATCACTGCTGGATGTTTCATGGGACAAATAAGTAATCTCTCCACATTTCTTGGTTGAAATTGAACTTTTAAAACAGGACAGGGAAATCTATATTTTTGTTCACATTCTCCAGAAAGTATATTCCATATACAGACAGTATTATCGGTAGAAGCAGAAGCAACTTTATGACCATTCCTCGACCAACTTATACTGCAAACTGGATGTACATGTGCAGCAATAACTTTTGCAATTCCTCGTGTTAAGAAGTCCCAAATTACAATTCTTCCATCATTACAACCGACAGCTAAAAGGGTTCCTCTTTTGTTAAATTGGCAAGTTACAGCTATGGAAAGAGAATCCAATGTGCCATCAAATTCCTAAAGAAAAGCTTATGAAATAATTTTAAGAATAACATTATAAATTAATATAACAACATAATGTGTCCATGTTTGAAAATTATAAAGCTCTTGGCCTCAATCATAAATCTAAAAGGTTACAAAGGCACACATACACACAAATATATATATATATATATAATATATATATATATATATATATATATATATATATATATATATATATATATGTATATATATAAGAAAAAAGAAGTACTTGTGACTCGTTTGAAAAAAATATAAAACTGTTTTGGATGGGTTGGAGTCAATAAAAGGGGCTATTTGTTGACTATTTTTTACTCGAGCTTTCAATTGTGATTACAATTTTTATCAAGAGCTAATAAAAAAATACAAAATATCTTACAAAGTTGAACTAGAAATAAAAAATTTTGTTGTTAACTCACCAAATAAAATTAGTTTTTTATATAAAGCTACTGCTAACATTATTACAAATAATATTATTAAAAAAATGCCCTATTCTAATAAATGTTTCTCTGAAATAAATTTTGATAAAGTTTATTAACAAAAACAATTGAATTTGTAAACAAAAATTGAATAGCTACAATTCAGCCTAAATGTCGTAAATACCAACTTAAAAATTTTTATTTTTGACATATTGTCAAAAATAAAATTTTGCTTAAAAAATTCTTTTTTGTTTAGTAACAAAAAAGAAGAAGATTTATTCACCATTGATAGGTGCCTGAAAAAATGTAACAAATACATGGAAAATTCAAAATGTGATATTTTACTGATTGCATATATAAATTACATAGAAATAATATAATTATAAATTTTGCTTAGATTTTGAATGTCTGACCTTTTGTTTAAATTATTATCACTTTTGCTAATACAAACCATTTCCAAAAAAGTTCTTTTAAATTTATTACTTTCACTACATAAAATTTTAATATTATCAAAATCCATAATATGGTCTTTGTCTATTACATGCTCTGCCAAAGCACAAGATGGTTTCTTAATACTGCAATCACTTTTGTGAGAAATAATGCGATTTGAGAGATTTCTTCCAGTCTCACCAATATACTCAGCTTCACCTGAGTACAACCAATGTTGTATACTACATTTGTTTGATCTAAATATCTATATATATATATATATATATATATATATATATATATATATATATATATATATAGATATATATTCCAAAACTAAATATCCTATAGACAAATTAGATCAAACAAATGTAGTATACAGCATTGGTTGTACTCAGTGTGAAGCTGAGTATATTGGTAAGACTGGAAGAAATCTCTCAAATCGCATTATTTCTGACAAAAGTGATTGCAGAAATAAGAAACCATTTTGTGCTTTGGCAGAGCATGTAATAGACAAATAACATATTATGGATTTTGATAATATTAAAATTTTATGTAGTGAAAGTAATAAATTTAAAAGAACTTTTTTGGAAATGGTTTGTATTAGCAAAAGTGATAATAATTGAAACAAAAGGTCAGAAATTCAAAATCTAAGCAAAATTTATAATTATATTATTTCTATGTAATTTATATATGCAATCAGTAAAATATCACATTTTGAATTTTCCATGTATTTGTTACATTTTTTCAGGCACCTATCAATGGTGAATAAATCTTCTTCTTTTTTGTTACTAAACAAAAAAGAATTTTTTAAGCAAAATTTTATTTTTGACAATATGTCAAAAATAAAAATTTTTAAGTTGGTATTTACGACATTTAATCTGAATTGTAGCTATTCAATTTTTGTTTACAAATTCAATTGTTTTTGTTAATAAACTTTATCAAAATTTATTTCAGAGAAACATTTATTAGAATAGGGCATTTTTTTAATAACATTTTTTGTAATAATGTTAGCAGCAGCTTTATATAAAAAACTAATTTTATTTGGTGAGTTAACAACAAAATTTTTTATTTCTAGTTCAACTTTGTAAGATATTTTGTATTTTTTAGGAGCTCTTGATAAAAATTGTAATCACAATTGAAAGCTCGAGTAAAAAATAGTCAACAAATAGCCCCTTTTATTGACTCCAACCCATCCAAAACAGTTTTATATATACATATAATATATATATACAGGGTGAGTCATGAGGAACTTTACATACTTCTACCATATGTAGAGTCCCTCAGGGAGCATATCATGTAGCCACTAAAAAATGTCAACTCCTCTTCTTTATTAATTAACAGGGTGATTTGTGTAATTGACCATTTATTTCATTTTACTGTAGTGTTTACACGGCTCATTTGATTTTTTAAATTTTTGCATGATACAGTACACTACTATCAAGCATTCGACTGGTATTAGCTAAACTAAAAAATTCCAGGACTGGCTTTGGAAAAATTAATTTAGGGATTCGTATTAAATATTACACCCCGTATATATTTTTTTTAAAATGCAATAAGTGACTTTCAAACTACATAAATAGCCAATGAAAACGACATATGCGACAATGTTGTCGCACTTTTATTAAATTTATAGTGAACGATCACATCTTACCAAAAATAGAACAACCAAAATGAAGTATCAAATTATAAGGTATTAATTTAAACAAATGTTATAAATTTCAAACATTTTAATTAAAATGAGTTCCTACAACATAATCTAATACGTAGAAAATTACGTAAGTACGTTAAGTACATTGTGTTAGTTTTGGTAGAGCTTTTGTTACTTTCGTTCAAAATGCCACATCAGTTTTCGACCACAGATATGCAGACATATTTGTTTATGGATTCTGTAATGGGAATGGTAGGGCTGCTAGTAGAGAATATCGCAGGAGATTTCCTAATCGTCGAACTCCCAGTCATCCAACATTTGGGTCAGTTTTTAATTATTTGCGAGAAAATGACACTTTTCCTAGTGGAACAACAGAATTATGATCGATTTTTACCTGTGGCTGATTATCCAGCCACAACGTTAACGATTTATATATGAGTTTTGGACTGACCTCAATTGTTTGTTCGCTTTAAGCCGATTAATGGGGGGAGATTGGTGTTATCAATACCATTTTCCTTTCATTGTTTGGTTTCTTACAGACGGGTTATCACTCAAACTCATCTTACTCTTTAAATATACCGCTCTATTATTAGGGTTGGTATCTCACCTTGTTGATCTGTCATAATTTTATGACCTCAAGGTGGCTGTCTTTTCACGCTGTTTGTTCTAATTTAACGCCATTTTACCGGCGGCAATCTAGAAGCATGGAGTGTTAATTTCATTATACATTACATTATTAAATTTCAATATTAATCACTTTAATAATGCTACCTAAGGTTAAAATTAAATCATAACTATTAACATATCGTTGGAAGTGCATCTTTGATATTATTAGTTCTTCAATCTCATTTTAATGTTTTTTATTACTTTTACATGTACAATAGACCACATGTTCTTTTGGCTGTGCTAAGTTTTAACAAAATATGAAAAAAAAAACCCACCATTTATATTGGATTGAGGGTCGTACTCCTTTACTCGATATATATATATATATATATATATATATATATATATATATATATATATATATATATATATATATATCCTAATTATTCTTCGTAAAAAGTTCTGTAGGTTCTAAAATCTAAAATACAGCCATCGGATATCAAATTCTATCAATAGTATACGAGGTATGTCAAAAATATAAGTTTACAATAAAATCGTTTACAATAAAAAAAGGGTTTTGTTATTTTTTACTGATCTTTCTATTTTGAATGAACATTTTTATCTCTTGTGATTAAGAAACACCGGATAGCCGTATCGCTTCTAAATGTTTTCTAACAATTTTGAATTTTAAACACGTAATTAATGCACGCGTATTTATTTTGCAAATAGCAACATCGGTTCTCTTCTAATTCCACTTGGACGAGACAGCAAAAATCAAAGCGCCTATCAAAATCCCTTTCTTTCAATGTGTGAATGATTTTTGGCCAAAATGGCTTTTGATAATTTACTTATAGTTTATTGCATAAACGATTTCGTCTTGCGCAATGAGAATTTTGGATTTTCTATCACAGACAACATTACTTCAAACTGCGTATTTGTAAAACTTATTTTTTAATGTAAATGTATAAAATTGTTTATGTGAACGTAGTTTTTAGTTTTGATCAACTTCTCTTAATTCTAGAAAATGCAAAACTTTTTATGGAGAATGTTTTTTTTCCGTAAAATTGATAATAAAGTTTTCCATATGGTTCCAATTTAGCGTGAGATATATGTAGTAGTGATTCTTTCAAAAGTTAGCATGCCTCTTTTCTAACTTGGCCAATAGTCAGAAATACGTATATACAGTTGCCTTCCACCGATATACCTATTTTGTTTTTTACATACATTTTACTTTTTTTTACTATATATTATATAGAAAATTGTTTGACAACAGCTGACACGAATTTAAATTCAAAGGAGGGAAATAATTGGACAATGAGCTGATAGACAAATCAGAATAGATGATCTTTTTACAATGACCAATATATTACATTTCGCCTATTCTCTTAGGCATCATCAGTCAGGGAAAGCTACAATAATGGTTATTAGGTATTTCTTACATATCGACTCTCCCAACGAAAACTGTCGTAACTCAAGATCGCTCATTCCGAGATAATTGCGTTTAAAAATAATTGTGAAAAGTGACGTTCTGTAATTTTTTAATTATCACTACTACGTTTTTCATTTTTTCACTCAGTAATTATTTGTGCAATCATAATTATTGCAAAAGAAATAAAAATTTCATAAGGTTATTCGATTTTGGATTTTGAATGAGTTACTACAGTCTTCGTCGACAAAAATTTTAGTTATAAAAACATACTACAATAATAAAACAAAAAAATTAATAATTATTTTATTTTTAGCAATTTGTTTATAATGGTGTAGAGCACTCTGGTGGAATGTCTCCATTAGCAGGCCGCAGGGAGTTATAAAACCTATGGTACATTGCTGGTATCAAATTGGCTTTACATAAACTTAATAGACCACTTAATTTTTTACTGTCAATTGGTAAA